TTCCCCCTTTGGGATTTAAAAAAAAAAGCAGCAGCGGCGGGAGAGTTGAGCATCAAATCCCGAGTTACATAAGTGGGCACGCTTGCCCACCCGCAGGTCCACGCAGGATGGAGGGGTCTCAGGTTCCCCCAGAGGCTGTTCAGAGTTGGGGGAAAGGGCTCCTGCTTCTGGGTAGAGGACCTTGAGGAAGGACCCGAGGTCCTCACAAAGGCCCTTGGTAAATTAGGGAATGGCACGTCGGCCCTAGTGCCAGTCCGTGAGTCACAGAGCCCTGACAGTTAGGCCTATGCCAGCTGCTCCCCTCCCCCACCACCACCATCTTAAAAATGATAAAATTGACAGAGCTTTGGCTTTGCAGGCCGGAACAGAAAGTGCTGCTGAGTCCCATAACTCAAGCCGGAGGGCAAGTCCTCACTTCGGTCTAGGTCCACATTGGGCAGTCCCAGTGGGAAAGGCAGCTCCTGCTACAAGGAGTTGGGGTGCTAAGAGACTTTGGGGTGACTGCACTGATCGGTGAGGTGAAGGCAGCCTGTCATTTTACCAGGCTGAACAGAAGGTGGGAAGAGAAACCCAGGGGACCTTTGTGCCACAGGGGCGCCTTCTCCAGCGCTAGCCCAGGCCGGTGTGTAGCCTGAGAGCGCGCGGAGCTGGAGTGGGGTGGCCATTAATGGCCTCAGCGTTCGCCCAGCAGCAGGAAGAGGGCCTCGGGGACGTGGTGGAGATGGAGTCCTTTCTGCCTGAAAGAGGGGCGGTGTGGCTGTGTGTGTGTGTGTGTGTGTGTGTGTGTGTGTGCGCGCGCGCGCCCGCGCGCACTCGGGCGCCTGTGTGCGCGCGCGAGCCAGGTTTCTGGTCTTGTCCCAGTGGGAAGCGGTCTCCCCGCACCCTCCTGAAAGCCCTGCTGTCGTTTGAAGGTCGGCAGAGTCTGGGCTGAAAAGGAAACAATTTGGGGTTTGAAAGGATGTAATTCATTCTTCCTTTCCCTTTAACCTCTCTCCTCTCTGGAAAGCATGTGGAAACTCTGAAGGGGAGAGTGAGAGGGCGGGTGGCGCGGCCGAGGGGAGGAAAGGGTTAAGCCCGATTTCTTTTAATTGAACTCCAGAACTGGTGGCCCCAGGCAAAGGGGGGGACTGACCCCGCTAGCGGTAACCAGATGTGGCGGTCCCAGGGGAGCCCCGGAGCAGACCCCTGGATTGAGAAGCAGACAGGAGGTGGGGGGGGTCGGCCCGGCCCCCATTCCACCCAACCCCCCCCTACTCCCCCAT